TTTTTTAATTAATAATATTTAATAATTTTAATTTAATTTTTTAATAATCTTGATTTTATTAGGGCTGTCAAGTAATTTTGATTTTTGATTTTTTGTTTTTTAAAATAAAAAATTATATAAAATATAAATTTAATATAAAAAAATATATATCGATAGAAAAACTCATCCTAAGAATATTATGAATTTGAGAAAGAGATGGTGTTAGACTAGTAGTCTAGTAGACAAATTAATGATTCCTCACTGCAGTCAAAGTCAAAACACCACCGACGTTAACGGATGTTACGTCAAGTCGAATTCTTTTTAAAATTAATTTTTTGATTGACATTTTCAATTCGATGACTTTGAATTCAACCTCAATAACTTGCAAGGAAGGTTCAAGGTTAATTACCAAAAAAAGAAAAAAAGAAAAAAAGAAAAGTATGGTTAAAGGTTGCAGGCTTAATGTCACTAACTATCCCTCAACTTTATAAAAAAGAGTTATTATTATCTTTCTACTTTAAAATAAGTCATAAACATCCTTAAGCTTTTGAGAAAGGGCCAAGCATCATCCCTAGTCATAACTCCGTACATACACCCGTTAAAATTCTCCAAATTTTAACGGCAAATTACATAGCTTGTCCCTCAACTTTTAATTTTTGTGCACTTTGTTACTTAAGATTTATTCAATTTGATCCCTAATTTCAACTTTTTTATTACAATTTAGTTCCTAAAATTTTAAAAGAGAATCACTTAAATCTCAAAATTTGCATTTCAATCCTTTTTTTTTTTGCACAAATAATAAAAATTATACAATATTCAATAAAATCACAAAAAATTATTTAATTTGGTTACATATAAATAAAACCAAATCTAAAATAGTAAACTAAAATATATAAAAAGAATTTTATTTTACAATTTAAACTGTATTAAACTATAAAACAGAGACTATTAATTTTGGGGACTAACCTTTATCCAATAATTAGTGTTATACAATTTGGTACAATTTAAAATGCACAATACTTTTTTCATATATAAAACTCATATCATTAAAGCATAAATCAAACATTTTATATCACTTATCCCAAAAATATCTCTGATAGTCAATTTGAAATCCTACGAAACTATAAATGATATAGATATAATTTATAGGTGTGGTGTAAATGTATATCATGAACTAATGATAATTTTGGATAATGTTTTTATGATTATGAGTGTATTACAAGAGCATAAGACAAATATCTCTTATTTATTTATTTTTTATCATAATGTTGTTACTTTTTTTTTTTTAATGTGAGTTATGTATATGCAATTCCTTGAATGTCATTTTTTTATTTTTAATAATCTCAAATTGAGCATAAGACAAATAATTAGTGTTATACAATTTGGTACAATTTAAAATGCACAATACTTTTTTCATATATAAAACTCATATCATTAAAGCATAAATCAAACATTTTATATCACTTATCCCAAAAATATCTCTGATAGTCAATTTGAAATCCTACGAAACTATAAATGATATAGATATAATTTATAGGTGTGGTGTAAATGTATATCATGAACTAATGATAATTTTGGATAATTTTTTATGATTATGAGTGTATTACAAGAGCATAAGACAAATATCTCTTATTTATTTATTTTTTATCATAATGTTGTTACTTTTTTTTTTTTAATGTGAGTTATGTATATGCAATTCCTTGAATGTCATTTTTTTATTTTTAATAATCTC